TCATCAGGTTTTTGTGTATTGTTTTGGAATTTTTAAAATTGTTTTTCTTACTTCCTTCACAGTGACGATTCACAAACAGTGCCCAAAACTGTCACTATTTTACGTAACTCATAACTATTTTTGAGCACAAGTGACCCTTGCTTTAAAAATATTGTTACATGGGCGTAAGCTAAAAGCTGGAGGGGGATTACACTTCAAGCATTTCAGCCCCCAAAGATTAGTAGGCTACGCTCATGTGCTTATACTCAAAGCAAAACTACTTAGATCGTTTAGAATTATGATATTTAAAATTGTGACAGGTTTGGGCACTGTTTGTGAATTGTCACTGTGAAGGAGGTAAGAAAAACAATTTTAAAAATTCCAAAACAATACACAAAAGCCTGATGAGTGTCCTAAAAATTAGGGACATAAGGTGTCTTTGGATCAAAAATGCATTGTAGAAGAAAATATTTTTATTTAATTTTTAAACGCTGTTCACAAATGAAGATTTTTAAACTTTGCTGTGACTTTAAAATTTTAAATGCGCCCACCTTCTCTTGTGGTTCAGTTAGATTGAATTTTCCAAAACGACCGTATAAAAGAGACATGCAACTATTTAATTCCGAAAAGATTACCAAAATTGGTTGACCACTCTTGAAGATATATCCCAAAAGACGAAGAAAATTTGTGATTTTCTTAAATTAAAGATACCGCAAATACCAGAGCTGATGGACTATAGGCGTAGTGGCAACTTATGCTTAGAAAAGCCTCATTTATCGAAATAAAATGGTGGCAGGCCTGGACACCGACCCATGTCACATTTTGTCGGCCTGTGTAATTTGTTTGCAAAATGCAAACAATTATTTGACTTATAGCATTGGCTAGATCGACTCGGCTAGTTACCCTGATCAAGAATACATATACTTTATGGGGTCGGAAACGCTTCCTTCTCGTAACGGGTATAATTAAACGTTCGTCACCTTACGCTACAATGCGAAAAATGTAAGAAAAGCAGAAATAATAGCTGTGAAAATAAAAAAAGTTAAAAGTACAATACTAGAGGTATTGACCACTATATCTAATTACTCAATCCACTGGAACCATCCAGGGTTACGATAAAATACTCTCCTACTCGCTGGTAAGAACGGACTCCTTTTCTTCAACTAAAAATCTGTCCAAGAAACTGGATCTGATGACATATTTTGCTCTCACTTGCTGTGCTGCTTTCTGGATTCAGGACGGGCCGGGCGAAATACATCTAGACGCCCCTTTTCTCGTTCCCCACCCCTAAAATACAATTGCGTGGCCGTGTGAAGTCTTGCGGACAGGCGATAAGAAGAACGACGCTTTTTTATGTCAGCACAAAAGCAACTGTTGCCGCACACACGCTGGCTGCATGTAATAGCCATCTGGAATTGGGAGTTCTTTCTTCATCTTAGATCTAAATAGGTGGTGGGAGCGGTGGCAAGTCGTTTATTTGGTGAGTGGCAGGCTATCAGCCTTCTTGCACCGTAATTGTTTAAGCTTAAAGACTAAAGCTTTTCAGATGCACAGCGAAAGCATTCAAACATTATGCAAATAATGTTTGCGATATTTGAACCAAAACTCATTTTTTGGTTGAAGCTCAGAATTTTCCGTTCTGTTGAATAGCTTCAGAGCAGATGTAGGTGCAGAGAGTATTTTATTTTTAGTCAGAAGCTTGCAAGTTGCAACGAAGTGAAGGAGAAGTTTTCTACCCTATAGAGGATATGTATTTTTGATCAGCATCACTAGACATGTTGATCTAACAATGTTCGTCTGTCCGTTTAAGGCGGGGTATGGTTAATTCGGCCAAAAAGAGGCTTAATTTCATGAATTTTTTTTTACACGATCGTTCCTATGGCAGCTATATAATATAGTAGTCCGATTTTTTAAATAATTAATTCGAAATTCAGAAATATTTAAAAAATAACATCCCCAAAAGTAGAAGGTAATATTTCAAAAAACACCGAAGCTAGAATTTTTTAAAGTTTTTTTTTCCGATCCTTCCTATGGGAGCTATAAGATATAGTTGTCCGATCCGGTCGGCTCCGACATATATACTACCTGCAATAGAAAGAAGACTTTTGCGAAAGTTTCGTCCCGATAGCTCAAAAACTGAGAGACTAGTTTGCGTAGAAACAGACAGACGGACAGACGGACGGACAGACGGACAGACGGACATGGCTAGATCGACTCGTCTTGTGATGCTGATCAAGAATATATGTATATACTTTATGGGGTCGGAAACGTCTCCTTCACTGCGTTGCAAACTTCTGACTGAAATCATAATACCCTCTGCAAGGGTATAAATATAAAAAAAAATGTCCATTAGTTAAGATGTTTCTTAAGGTAATCAGGTCGAGTTTTCTTTTTTTTTAATTTTTGGATTTTTGTATTACTTTGAAGTCAAAAACGCGATTTTAGCCAAAAAATTGGATATAAAAGTTATTATAAAATAAAAAATAAAAAAAAAATCTCGACTTGATTACCTGCGGATTTAGGTACAGAAATTATGTGCAAAATTTCAGAACGATCGGTACATTAGATTTCGATGGACAATGTTCACCGACTTAACGGAACATACTTTTCAGGAGAACGATTTAATGTTTTGGATAGGTATAGGGACGGCAGGGACCGCCCCTCGTTCAACTGGTCATTTTTTTTGTAATTTTCATCCGATTGACATGAAATTTTAACACAACATTCTTAACGTGTTGTACATTAATAAAAAAAAATTTAAAAAAATCGAAAAAAAATTAAATACCACAAACAAACAAAGTTCATACTATGAACGCTGAGTCGAAATACTATATTTGTTTTAAATTGAGAGGGGAAGGAAAATAACTTCCGAGATATTATAGATTTAGTTAGATATTTAATTAGCTAAGGAACGGCTAAAGGCAAATTGTAATTTTCCTTATTATTTCAGAGATGCGTTTTTAATTTTATGAGAATCGAATGTAATGTAGCTGCCATAAGAAGATCGGAAAGGTATAGTAATCAATTTTTGTGGTAGACGGCTGCTTGACAATTATATTGGAAAATTTTACCAAGTTTTTTTTGTGTGTATCTATGAAATCAATAAAATGACGATCCGGTCTCAGCCTTTTAAATTGTCGGAAACTAGTACTTGCAAATTAATGCATACAGCTTCGAAGACGGAATCTCGGAATCCCTTTCTGAAATGATCTACTCCAAAATACTTGTGAGCCCACCCTACTGTGGAGATAATTCTTACTCTTATTAATATATGTCCGAACCCCTGGAGGAGGTCTGTGCTTGCAGCTGAAGCAGACTAAGCCGAAGCGGAAAAACTTTTCACTGTACGAGCATGTGCCGTGTCGCTGGCACGTGCCACGTGGCGATTGCTTGAGCTGCGTTCCAGCTCCAGCGCCAGTGCGAAGATAATATGATGATTGCAAGGCTGTTTCAGTTTCCTGCGGGGGACTCGCTTTCATGTGCTACCATGTAGCCTAATAAAAACATTTGTTTCCTCCACCGTCGGGCATTTTGTGATCTAATCTGTGCATATTAAATCTTGAATGTAATAGGAACACCAGACAATCGAATGATATCAAAATGATTTCGTCTTACCTGCAATATTAAACCTTACATGTGCAGAAATGGGAAAATATGAAAAACATGACCGACCAAACCAGAAAACCCCTGACGATGTCAAACATCTTAACATAAAGTTATAATTTAAAAATTTGTGCACAAGTGGAGGATAAATAATTGTTTTATTATTATTAAATTACCCATATTTAATACACTAAATATAGTCGCGGCTTACGGCTTCACGTATTATAAGCCGTAAGGCCTGGTGGTTGAATGAATGAATGGCCAGAAGTACAAGTATTGGTTTGCGCATACTTAACGATTTATAAAAAATCGATTTGCTATGAGCAAACTAACATTTGTATTAGTGGACTGAAAAAAGAACCCAATTCGAATTGAGAAAAGAAATATTGGGCAGAACATTGTTCTTGAATTTTGTGCATTACATTTAAATCGCCATCATCCCCTGCAGTTGCCTGTTCCAGTGTGCGTTAGTTTTTTTTAATACTGCTCTTGGGCACTTTGAAACAAGCAAACTTCCGCCTTTCAGCCAGCACACTGGCCGTCCCTTTCGGGCCACTGGCAGGGCTTACGCTTTGCGGCGCAAAAGCAGGACAGGACCAGCCTTTCGGAACTCAGCCTCCACATGTGAGGCCAGCTGTTGAGATGGTGAGCTGAAGAGCTGGAGAGCTGGTGGGTGTGACCGTGTTTAGGCTTGTCGACATTTTGCTAAACAACCATACGCCCACACCCACGCCCCCAGCCCCTATATACGTACGCCTGTACTGCCAAAGCGGAAACGTGCGGGTAGTTAACGGAAATGTAAAGCGCCTATTGTATCGGAATGAAACAATTCTATTGGGCGACTGTGCTGGCTGAAGACTTGTTTCCCTATTCGTAAATTCGAAATCGAATTAAGTGCAACATGTGTGTAAGTGACTGCGGCGTGTGGGGCTGGCAGACCTTCAAGCTGGCTCTGAGCAGTACACGGTACAACGGCAGACCTGCCACTGCACCGCTTATGGCCAGCTATCAAAGGAACATTTAGTCTGGGGCTGGATCCGAAGTAGTTAAGAATGAAACCACACCGACAAGTATGTGTTTCTTATGCGTCTGCAGTTGAGCCTCGCTTTAATTTAAAGATTCCGTTGCCGAGATATGTTCCTCATATCGAAACGCAGCTGCGAAATTGCATCGTGCCGCCAATCGCTTTCTCCTCCCACCTCTCAGCCGAGTAACAGAAACTGTATGGGTGCGAGTGCGACAACTGCTGTGCTTCCAGCATCGTCCAACCACAGCGCTTCCCTGTGGCAAATGGTGGTGAGTGAGCCAGCCAAGTTGGTCCCCACCAATCACAGGCAGTTCCTTTGCCACAGGCACGGCTCTGAGCACAGGGGGACGCCGGCTGGCCAGTCGAGGGTCGGCCTAGTCGGTTTCTAGAACGGATCCGGGCAGGCAGGTCGCGACACTGTTACTACGTCTTGCGCTCCAAAGGTAAATGCAGTTTCGCCGTCGTGTCGGGAAGTGTAAAAAGTGTAGAAAGCATTGCCCGAGCTACATTCTGCGATTTAAGCCGTTCCGTGTAGTCTCCATATCGTCTGAAACTGCCATCGGCACTGGCTAGCGGTCCACCCGGGAATATTACGGAATGTTACGGAAGCAAGCAGTGAAAATATAGTACAAACGTGAGTGCGATGAAAGTGGTGTGCGAAAAATGAACAAGTGAACTAAAACAAAAGCGGCTGCTCAGTTTAATGTGTGTTCCTGAGTTCGTGACTCTCATGTCCCCATGGCGCCATCAACAATAGATTTTTGATCACCACAGGACGCGATTTCCACCGTCACCGTCAACCATCTGCACATATTCATTTTCGAAGCTCGGCTCGCCCTCCGAGGGCTCTCGCAGCGTGCGACCGGCAAAAAACAGAAAACAGTACTTTTCAGGATAAAGCTTGGATAAGCATAGCCAGAGTCGACCGTGATTAGCAGTGCACCAGAATAAAAATCGAAATCTATATCGGTTTAAGGAGAGCTCGACGGCCGCAGTTACACCGGCAATAGCCCAGTTGTTCAATACAAGTCATATAATGTTTACATTGCAACCAACTCCGACGGCTATGGGCACCGTAGTTCCTCCCTGGTCAGCGGGAACATTGAACATTCTACCGTCCTTAGAGGACATGGCTCACAAGGGTAAGCTCCACTCCTGCACCATTTTCCATTCTCAATTGCGTGTTTATACCCGTTACTCGTAGAGTAAAAGGGTATATTGTATTCGTGCAGAAGTACGTAACAGGGTGAAGCAAGCGTTTCCGACCCTATAAAGTACATATATTCTTGATCTAAGTCACTAACCGAGTCGATCTAGCCTTGTCCGTCCGTCCTTCTGTCTGTCCGACTCGGAAACTACAAAAGTTTGACGGTTGGGATTAATCACACATATTCTTGGGCTTCCTACGCAGCGCAAGTTTGTTCCATCCAAGCGCCACGCCCACTCGTACGCCTACAGTCGCTTTAAAGGACTTTTAAAAAGCCTCGCAACCACATCTTTACAGATTTTGTAAAAGTTTTCTTGTGTTTAGTAATACCTATCGAAATGTAGAAGAAATTTTTCAAATCGGACCATTCATTAAAAAGTTATGCCCGATCAAAGTTGTATATCTCCATCTCCCTCGCATTCCCTTTAGCTGAGTAACGGGTATCTGACAGTCAGAGATGTTATCATTTTGGTCAGATGAGGTGTATCCATTACCAGGGAGGTGCCAGTCATTGCGGTTTATTCATCCAATTTAAAAGCTGGGAAATCGTTACAATAACAAATACCTGAAAATTAAGTACCGCGGATCGGACACCAATGTACATATATTACAATTTTATGTTTTCCTTTTCTGTAAATAGGTTGACTGTCCCATATGTATATATATATTGTTTATATATAAACAAGAAGCTTTTGGCTTAAATACTAAATACTTTTAAGCGTAATCTAGGGACAACTCAAAGCAATATTGAAAAAGAAACTATATCTTAAAAACAGTTGTAGATCTGAATTTGCAAAAGAAAACATGAGCTTGGCGCTCGGCTAAAATAAACTTGCGCTGCCTATGAAGCCCACACACAAAAAAATTTGCTTGGTAAAATTGATTAACAAAGATAGTTACGTAACTATTAAAATAGTAACGTGTATTTTGTTTTTGCTTTGGGTTTGTGTCTTTGCTAATAGTGTGTATTTTGTTGTTGTGAAATGACTATTTACTTAGTAGAATTGACAATTTTGCTGGTTGGGGCCTGTTTGACAATTATTACAGTTGATTTTACCAAGTTTTTTTTTTGTGTGCAGGAATATGTGTGGTAAGTTCCAACTCTCTAGATTTTGTAGATCTCAGCGATCATAGACAGACAGACGGGCATGCCTAGACCGACTCTGATAGTGATTCAGGCCAAGAATATTTAATATACGTACTTTATAGGTTCCGAAACGCTTCCTTCTCCATTTACATATTTCCCCCCACAATAAAATGCTAGATTAGCCACTGGCATTTTCTATAAGTGATTTGGTCGACCTGTTAACATAAAAGAGTAAATTTGTATCAGGCAGTAGATAGCACTTCCAACCCTACCCATAAAAAAAATTTGATTGGTAAAAGTGCCCTATACGGATAGTTATGGAACTATAAATAATAGTTACGCGTATTTGGTTTTTTCTTTGTGTCTTGGCTAATTGTGAGTATTTGTTGTTGTAAAAGTAACTATTTAATTGGGAGAATTGGCAATTTTGTGGTCAGGGACTGTTTTTGTGTGTGAATACAAAGATTTGTGTAAATTGTAGTTTTTTGGATTTGTCAATAGCTATCGGTTGCAAAAAAAATTGTTTGAATTGGACCTTTCATTGAAAAGTTATGTGCCTAAATTGAAAAATCCGCGAGATTTCGCGATTTTTGTGCTTGCATATCATTTTTGCAAAATAACGGGTATTTGAAAGACGAGGCATTCGACTTTGGCGTTTTCTTCTGTTATACCCTTTGCAGAGGGTATTATAATTTCAGTCAGAAGTTTGCAACGCAGTGAAGGAGACGTTTCCGACCACAGCACCAATAGCCGAGTCCATCTAGCTATGTCCGTCTGTCCGTTTCTATGGGAACTAGTCTCTCAGTTTTAAAGCTTTCACGATGAAACTTTCCCAAAATTCCTATTTCTGTTGCAGGTAGTACATTTGTCGAGACGAGCCGGATTGAAATACTATATCTTATGGCTCCCACTTAGTGGTTCGATCCAGCTCGTTTCGACATATGAACTACCTGCAGTACAAAGAAGACTTTTGGGAAAGTTTCATTGCTATAGCTTTAAAAAACAAGAAACGAATATACTCTTGCAGATCATTCTATTAATTTACAAATCGCAAAAATGTTAAATATCATATTTCACTTTAATTTTTCGATCGTTTCTATGGCAGCTATACAGTAGTTCGATCTTTTTAAAATTAAAACCGAAATTCGGAAATATTTAAAAATAGTCATATCCCATAGTACACACAAAAAAATTTGCTTGGTAAAATTGACCAACAAAGATAGTTACGTAACTATTAAAATAGTTACGTGTATTTTGTTTTTGCTTTGGGTTTGTGTCTTTGCTAATTGTGTGTATTTTGTTGTTGTGAAATGACAATTTACTTAGTAGAATTGACAATTTTGCTGGTTGGGGCCTGTTTGACAATTATTACAGTTGATTTTACCAAGTTTTTTTTTTGTGTGTAGAAGAGATTGTAATAAAAATCAACAAAGATATAATTATACCCGTTACTCGTAGAGTAAAAGGGTATATTGTATTCGTGCAAAAGTATGTAACAGCTAGAAGGAAGTGTTTCCGAACCTATAAAGTATATATATTCTTGATCTGGGTCACTAGCCGAGTCGATATAGGCATGTCCGTCTGTCCGTCCGTATGAACGCTGAGAACTCGGAAACTACAAAAACTAGAAGGTTAAGATTTTCCACACATATTCTTGGGCCTCCTACGCAGCGCAAGTTTAATTCAGCCGAGCGCCACGCCCCTTCTAACGCCCACAATCGCCCACTAAAGATTTTAAAATGTGTCCTGCGCCCACATCTTTAAAGATTTCCGAGAAGTATAAATGCAATTTTGTTGTGTACACCTATCGAAATGTAGAAGACAATTTTCAAATCGGACCATTCATTAAAAAGTTATACGCAATCAAAATTGTTTATATATCTATCTCCCTCGCACTCCCCTTAGCTGAGTGACGGGTATTAGATAGTCGGGACACCAACCCGACTATAGCCTTCTCTCTTGTTTTTTTCTATTAATTTCCATTTAATTTTTTGCCCGTTCCTATGGCAGCTATAAGATATATTAGTCCGATCCGGTCAGTTCCGACATATATACTATCTGAAATAGAGATAAGACTTTTGGGAAAGTTTCATCCCGATAGCTCAAAAATGGGAGACTAGTTTGCGTAGAGATTCTGATCAAGAATATATCTGACTGAAATCATAATACCCTCTGCAAGGGTATAATGAGAAAAAAAATATATATAACTTATGTGGTCGGAAACGTCTCCTTCACTAAAATAAGGCAATGGAGACGGGACCGATCGAGGGAGCTCTAGAATCTTGATCACGAGAGGTATAACGTTTGAAGCTCTCAATGATGGTAAATTAAACGGTAAAGTATGTATTTTTACTTGAAGGGTATACAAAATTCGCCTTGACGAAGGTAACTTTCTTTCTTGTTTATATTGACAATTCTCGAAATAATTTGTAGACATTGTTATCAGCGGCAACTAGTTTGCATTTCCACACTACGATAAGATGAAGATAAGTCGCGCGGGTATTCATATTGGCTAAAATTTTATTACTTCCAATCAATAATTCTTGTAATTACATGTAAATGCTGTATAAAATTAGATGTTTATAACTGTGTAGGCTTAAAAAGGAATTACATTTAAATCGAAAATTGAAACATTCAAGTATTATTATAGACTGAGGGCCGTCATCCCGAGTGTCGGCTAACATTTCACGAACAAATAAACTCTCTGATAAGTAAATTGGGTTTCCTCGAGCGTCAATGTGAGAGCTTTGACAGGGACTCGGACTCCCTGTTAAGTCTTTTTCGACTCGATAAAATTTCAGCTGAATTTACAAAGCCAAGTAAGATAAGCAGCTGATTTTTCCTTTGTCGGATACTCAAACAGCTGATAAAATAGCCAAAGCCTATCATTGTTTCCGCCAATGGTGGATATGGAATTTTGATATGGATCAGAACAATTTTCTTAAACAATCGAGTTTACAGCCTAAATGCCCCACAGCAATTAGTTGCAAATTTTGTTAGTGTTGGAGCCCTAGACCACGAAAATACCTGTGACCACTATTCATTTTCATTGTTTTATTCGGTAGGAATTAAACTTTAAGTTTGTACCCATTAGGATTTTTCAACTTATTTATTAAGGGCCGGTTTCTCGAGTCCCTGTCAAAGTCCCTGATAGCTATCTGTTCGAAAAACTTAAATACCAGATAAACTGTTTGTAAAAGCAAATCCGCTTTCTTGACTACTTTAATTTATCTGAACGAGAAACAATTACAGAGTGCTGTTAACGCACAGAATTGTGCTGTGAAGCGCAAAAAATGCCGTGCTTCGATTATTTCATCAGCTGTTTGGGTATATTTCAAGGGAAAAGTCAGCTGTGATTTCGTTTCATATTCTTAGTTGGCTTTGGGAAATCAGCTGTCATTCTATCGAGCCGAAAACGCTTAACAGGGACTCCGAGTCCCTGTTAAAGTTAGCTCTCACATTGGTGCTCGAGAAAGTCAAAATGCCTTAGCAGGGACTTTATCTGTTCGAGAAATGTTAGCCGGCACTCGAGAAACCGGCACTTAGAGTTTTTAATATACATACAGCCGACTTACAGTGGAGCAAGAAACATATTTTTCATCTTTGTAGAGCTGATGCGCTGCCATTACTTATCCAATCATATTGATCTGTATGACAAAGTTAAGATCTGATCTATTGACTTTAAAATGAAACGAAAAGTGTTCCAATTGGGTGGATATGTGCCGAGATATAGGACAAATTTCAAAAAAGCCAGAAATTTACAGTGTTGGGACATACCTAGATACTTTTACCTAGGTATGTACCTAGGTACAATTTAGTGGTACCTTTTACCTTACCTAGGTATAAAAATAATTGAGTACCTTTTACCTTACCTAGCTACAGATTTTTATATACCTTTGAAATTATGAAGGTACTTACATAGGTATAAAACATTGCTCTGATTTAAAATAGCCAAATCTGACTGCGACACTGTAGTACCGTTTCATTGTATCGTTTCGTTTCGAAATTGTAATAGTCGGAACGCAGCATTAAAAGTCATTGGAATTCAGCCGTTCTATGGTTTGTTTTGTGAAGTTAAAACTAATCGCAGTTTTATTTTATATCATTTTGTGCACGTATGTATGTTCCCATCACTACATCAATTTATTTATGAAACCAAAGTGTATTTGGCGCGCAAAAATGCCGTATGTACGTAAACAAACGGCATATACATATACATAGTCAATGTTTCTACATACGGAATTTTTGCGCGCCAAATATGTACATGAGGGTTTCATAAATACATTAATGAAGTGATACAATTATTCATGCCGCGTGTTTTAAAAATATATGCACAAAATTAAAACATTTAAATTTAAATGAAATGAAAAGATATTGTTTGATTAAGACGACTAAAAACTGAAAACTAGTCTTATTTTAAGTTTAAATGATTACATTGAACAAAACAAAAAAATTATAAAAAAAAAAAAAAACAATATATTTACCTTATACCTTTACTTAGGTACTGGGAAATTGAAGTACCTTTACCTTACCTAGGTATTTATTTTTGCCCAATACCTTTTACCTTACCTAGGTAAAAAAACACAGTACCTTTCCCAACACTGGAAATTTAACATTTTAAATTTTAAAAATCTTTAAAAAAACTGTGCTATCGAAAAATAAGATGTGTGGTATCTAGGGCTCTAGCACTAACAGAATTTTAAATCAATTGCTGTGAAGCATTCCATGAATATTATTTTGTAAACTAGCGTTTTTTACGATCAATTTTAATTTGATATGTGGCCAGGTAAATTTGACCTGGTCGAAAAGAGTATTACATGTAAAAACGAAATGGATTTTGCATTATCTGAAAATTACATGGCCATACTTTTTATACCCTTGCAGAGGGTATAATTATTTCAGCCAGAAGTTTGCAACGCTGTGAAGGAGACGTTTCCGACCCCATAAAGTATATATATTCTTGATCAGCATCAAGAATGAATGAGTCGATCTAGCTATGTTCGTCTGTCCGTCCGTCTGTTCGTCCGCCTGTCCGTCTGTCTGCCCGTTTCTACGCAAACTAGTCCCTTTTTAATATAAGTCGGAACCGACCGGATCGGACGACTATATCTTATAGCTACCATAGGAAGGATTTAAAAAAAACGAATCACTATATCATATAGCTGCCATAGGACCGGTCGAAAAATTAAATGGAAATTAATAGGAAAAAAAATTATATCTTTGTTGATTTATATAACATTCTCTTCTTCACTGGGATATAGCATTTCTTAAACATTTCAAAATTTGGAATAAAATTTAACAAACTCGGAAGTCTATATTATATAGCATATGAAGGATCAAAAAAATAATGATCTCCTTTCTTGTTAAACAACAAAATTCCCTTTCTTTTTCACCCGAGAGGGGGTGTATGGTTTGCGCCTAACATAGGAGTCAAGAAAACCAATTGGATGGACATGGTCCCAAGGCGTTTGTTTGTTCGGCTCAAAATTGGCAATAAACAACATAAAATTTCGTTTAGGAATTAAAAAATCATCAACCTGGGAAGCCTGGTTTTTAATACCGTTACTCGTAAAGTAAAGGGGTATGTTATATTCGTGAAATAGTATGTAATAGGAAGCGTTTCCGACCCTATAAAGTATACATATTCTTGATCAGGATCACTAACGGAGTCGATCTAGGAATTTCCGTGTGTCTGTCTGTCCGTATGAACGCAAAGATCTCGGAAAGCACAAAAGCTAGAAAATTCCTACGCAGCGGAAGTTTCTTTCAGCCGAGCGCTACGCTACTCTAACGCCCAGAATACAGGGGTGGTCAAAAGTATCTTCACAAATGTTAATGTTAACTGTACTTATATTTTGAACTTATAATATAAACTTTTGGCACCTATAGAAAGAGCACTTCAATTCCGTTAAAATGACACAAAAATGTTCTTAACCCATTAAGACCCCTTTGAAAAGTGAGCAAATTTTGCGAAATTCAAATTTTCAACTTGTTTCCTGGGGCTTAAAACAAAACTGTTTTGATGCAAAGTTGTTCCCCAATCAAAATTAATAATAACTGCAAAAAAATTTTTTTCAAAATATTTTTCCTTGCATTTTTTATGTTTTTTTTGAATGGAGACCTCTCAGTAAAATTTTGTATGAAAAGGAAGAAAAAGCGGCAAAAATTGCTAGTTTCAAAAAATCATAAAAAATACAAGGAAAAATATTTTGAAATTTTTTTTTTTGCAGTTATTATTCATTTTGATTGGGGAACAACTTTGCATCAAAACATTTTTGTTTTAAACCCCAGAAAAAAAGTTGAAAATTTGACTTTCGAAAAAAATTGTCTAATTTGCCCACTTTTCAAAGGGTGCTTAATGGGTTAAGAAAATTTTTGTGTCATTTAAACGGAATTGAAGTGCTCTTTCCATAGGTGCCAAAATGTTTATATTATAAGTTCAAAATATGAGTACAGTTAACATTCAAATTTGTGAAAATACTTTTGACTAGGTTTGTATATATCTCAATCCCCCTCGCACTTCCTATGGCGTTCTCACTTGTTAATATTAAATTTCATTTAATTTTCTATTTTCATATATGTATGTATATAAAAAAAAAACCGAACACACATACTCCAAATGGATGTGAATGCTTTGATTAACATGGTAAATGTTTATATTAATCATAGCATTTCAATAATAGCCGATAATTCAAAATTTGCTTTGGAAATTTGGAAGTATTTAACTTTGGCCACATATATAATCCAATTTGATCGATCCAACTACACTGTAGATTGTACAAGAATATCATGGTTAATATGGTTTCAAATTCAAAGAAGATGATATAATAAATTTGAAAGATCTCTACCTTTGAGGCTCCCTAACTCCCTGACATATCTTAATACCTAACCTAGCACATAATTTCTTTCGCATTTATAGACCTATTTCACTGATATAATACATTAATTCTAATGTGCAAAGTAACTTCTTGATACGAATTTTACCCCTATGATCTTCTTTTCTTATAGACAATGTGATTGCAATGAGAAATTTACCCTGTTTGGGTGCCGCTGGTGGGAGCGGACTAGGCGGTATTGCTGGAAAGCCTTCCCCTACAATGGAAGCCGTGGAAGCCAGCACTGCGTCACAACCCCATTCGACATCGTCTTACTTCGCCACAACTTACTACCATTTAACTGATGATGAATGTACGTTTTTATGAGTAACGCAAAGCAATACCTTTCCCCCTACCACTCGTTTTCAGATAGCCTTCCTACTCCCAGTCTCCCCATTACAGCCTATTCCGATCCGTTCCCCGAATATTTTCATTTATACAAAAGCAACTTGCGCAATACAACCGTTCTTTCGGCTAAAAATGAAGGTTAATTACTTAAACGCTTAGAAAACTTAATTTTGCATATCCTTTTTTGGTGTGTGGAATTTGAATTTGTCTATTTCGCTATCATTTTGAGGAAAGATTGTACACGGGATTTCCAAGAATTCGGAATAATCAAATATAGATAAATAAGTTAAAAAACAAGAGAGAACGCTATAGTCGGGTGCCCGACTATCAGATACCCGTTACTCAGCTAAAGGGAGTGCGAAAGAGATGGAGAAAAACTTTGATCCGCCGTAACTTTTTAACGAATGGTCCGATTTAAAAAATTTCTTCTACATTTCGATAGGTATTTTTAAACACAATAAAACTGCATTTTTACTTTTCCAAAATATTGAAATTTTTAAAATCGTATATAACCGATTGTGGGCGTTAGAGGGGGCGTGGCACCCTTTTGAAACAAACTTGCGCTGCGTAGGAACTCCTAGAATCTGCATGCAAAATGTCAATCTTCTAGCTTTTATAGTTTCCGAGATCTCAGCGTTCATACAGACAGACAGACAGACAGACAGACAGGCAGACAGACGGACAGACAGACGGACAGACGGACATGGCTAGATCGACTCGGCTAGTGATCCCGATCAAGAATATATATAGTTAATAGGGTCGGAAACGCTTCCTTCTACCTGTTACATACTTTTGCACGAATCTAATATACCCTTTTACTCTACGAGTAACGGGTATAATAATGATATCCTTCAGTGCCGTTATTAATTCAGCATTATCTTTATATAATATATTATAAGTATATTATAGTCCCCACAAGAAATGTTAATGTAGTGTTAGACTAATGTCAAATTTCGTTTTAAATGTGCCTTTTCCAGGAATACTATACTCAAACTATTAGTTATGCGTAGATTATCAAAAAATTTAGATCGATTTATATGTATTAATATCCATGTTTCTAAATAACATAAATAAAACAACTTGGAAATTGTTCGAAGCACCGAGTTTCTGATTCAGAAATGTTAAACAGGCTAATTCATCGCAATACTGATCGATTAGTGGACCTGGAAATCACCTTAGGCCGGCTTAATCTTTCAAATCACTCCTGTTATGCACGAGGGAATAGGGAATGTTCAAATTTCATCACTCGATCCGAAAGAATCCGCAGCTAAGGTGCGAACTATAAAGACATCTCGGTAAATTTGTTCCATTGCCAAATGTGTGTCATGAGGATTCATTATTGGTGTGAAAACAGCTCAATGTCCGGGTAACCCAATGCATAGAGCTCAATGGACGGTGAGGCATTGTTCAGTAGCTGACTCGAAATCGCGCACATGCTGCCAATTATAGTGGCACAATGGGAAGAGCTGATCATCGGTGACAATTGGGATCGGCATGGACTTTCAAGACCGTGATGGGCCAAACAATATTTTACGAATTGCGGAGTAGCTTATCGACATCCCTCAAATCCCATTCCCAGTCACACACACAAAAAAAAAACTTGGTAAAATCAACTGTAATAATTGTCAAACAGGCCCCAACTAGCAAAATTGTCAATTCTACTAAGTAAATTGTCATTTCACAACAACAAAATACACACAATTAGCAAAGACACAAACCCAAAGCAAAAACAAAATACACTTAACTATTTTAATAGTTACGTAACTATCTTTGTTGGTCAATTTTACCAAGCAAATTTTTTTGTGTGCAATCACAAACTCATCCCTAGCCTGCCGAGCTGTTAAGTACTCTCTGCCAGGTCAGTCCATTGTTGTGCTGTGAATCAATACAATAATTTTCCACCTTTAATGATCTTGAAGTGTGTGTTCGTTGTCGACGACCGTTTCGTGTCATGTCGTTACAAATGGAAACAATTATTGGCACTGAAAGCCGAAGTCGAGTAAATACAAACACACACAATGCACTCAAAAATGCCAAATGAGCCTCTTTAGCGGCTGCCGGGAACCAACGCGCTTAGGCATTGTACCCAAACCCAAACCCGAACACATACCCATACCCCTACCCATACCCAGTACCCAGTACCCAGTCTTTGTCGACCCACCCCGCAGTTCTGTCCATTTTCGCAGGCAAGGGAAAGTCTGTGCCTGCCCTGAATGGACCAGTCCCCTAGAGGGTCCAGCTCCTGTCCCTATTGCTAAGCCATTGTTTTTCTCGCCGACAGATTTGTGTTGCAATTACATTATTAATCCCACTGGCAAGATGTTTTGGGAAATTGTGTGCCCTGTCACACCGGCAAATCAAATTTTCGGCAAGCAATCCAATTTTGCAGTCCCTGCACTAATACCAAAAGTACTCCACGTTGGCCTTGCGGGGTCTCTGCATTTGAATGTCGAATGGCTCGGGACCCGCACACCTTTTACCCAGAACGCAAGACCTTTTTGCATGCAAATGTAATGGGGCTTCATGAGCAGCTGCATCCATCATAGTGGGCTAGAAGGGGGCCCTTTATAAGACGCTCTCTAAAGAGACATTTCCATTTTATTGGAGATCAAAACGAAAGCGGACGGACGGTCGAAGCTCACCGTTGAAAATCTATCATTAGACGCATTCCGATCCGTATCTGAAAACAGAAAAGTCACTCGGATTAGCCCTTCGTCAGAGCTGACTCTTCCTGCTTGTATCTAGGTTTTTCTGCTGCTTCGCTGATTTCTTTACCAATAAAGCGGTAAATTGATACAGAGATTTTGGGATTTTATTTCAATAAGTCCCAATACTCGGAAATTTTTATAAAACCCTTCCATTCTCATGCTTGACCTGAACATCGAGGATGCCCTTTTTTACCCCTTTTGCCTTTTCTTTTCGTGCTCAGCTTCGTACTGAAGATAAGTACACATAGAAGATGTTCCCCTTTCGTTTAAATCTGAATCGAGTAAGCAGCAAAACGAAACAATTGTATTTAAGTTTTCAATATAAAATTAATTACTAAGGCTACAAAACCATTACAAAATATATTGAACAAAAAATAATTTTTGTGCCGCTAATTTAGGAAAAACTATAGCATAATAAAACAAATAATTATGGGACACCAGTTTTTTTTTGTGTATTATGGCCGAATGATTTTATTGAAAAATGTGCAAGGGTGTGTGCATATTAATACTAAATGGTTCAGACTAAACAAGGACCAATCTGGTCATCGTGTACAAATTGAGATGCTCCGTTTCGAGTTCGGGACACAAAAGAAGGTACCCAAATCGATGTTCTCCCCTTCAGCATGTCCATCTCGAATTTGGGTCGACGAATGTATTTTGACGTCTTTAAAAGCGTGACAAACTAAATTATCCGCCTCATTGCCACAAGCTTATATAGAAGTGTACATGTACAGTCACAGTCGCACATTGACGTCGCTGATTAAAGCGAAGCAATAAAAAGCGGACTTGGGCACTATTAACATTTGATATACCACATCTATATATGCAGTAAAATAGCTTGCGCTTCCTTGCTTTACTCTCCTTGTATTTTGCAGGTCACAGTGGAGTAAATCAGTTGGGTGGCGTTTTCGTTGGTGGAAGACCTTTACCGGACTCAACGCGACAGAAAATTGTCGAGCTGGCCCATTCCGGAGCACGACCATGTGATATTTCCCGAATTCTACAAGTTTCCAATGGATGTGTGAGCAAAATTCTCGGAAGGTAGGATCCTTTTTCCCCCTATCAAATGTGTTTTTTTTTTGGCCAAATGAAGTTAAAAGCTTTTTTCTCAAGGGCCATATTTTAAACATATTTACTTTAATATTTGAAAACTTCTGTACCAGGGCAAGGTGTTTGCAGGGAGTAGAATGATACCCCATTTAGGGCCGGTTTCTCGAGTCCCTGTCAAAGTCCCTGATAGCTATCTGTTCGAAAAACTTAAATACCAGATAAACTGTTCGTAAAAGCAAATCGGCTTTCTCGACTGCTTTAATTTATCTGAACGAGAAACAATTACAGAGTGCTGTTAACGCACAGAATTGTGCTGTGAAGGGTAAAAAATGGCGTGCTTCGATTATTTCATCAGCTATTTGGGTATAATTTAAAGGAAAAGTCAGCTGTGATTTCGTTTTATCTTCATAGTTGGCTTTGGGAAATCAGCTGTCATTCTATCGAGTCGAAAACGCTTAACAGGGACTCCGAGTCCCTGTCAAAGTTAGCTCTCACATTTATGCTCGAGAAAGCCAAAATGCCTTAGCAGGGACTTTATCTGTTCGAAAAATGTTAGCCGGCACTCGAGAAACCGGCCCTTAAAGAAGTTAAATAGATATTTTGGAAGCTAAAGGATCAGGAGTCCGTTCCAAAATCAAGTAAATGACTTAAAACCGAGAAATAGTAGTTTCCATAATCAGTGAAATTTTTGTCCATTTAATTTACTTGCAATTTTTTTTATTGCAGAGGATATTATTACTTCAGTCAAAAGTTTGCAACGCAGTGAAGGAGACGTTTCCGACCACATAAAGTATATATATTTTTGATCAGCACCCATATCGAAGTCCACCTAGCCATATCCGGCTGTTTGTTTATAAGCGAACTAGTCCCTCAGTTTTGAAGCTATCGCGATGAAACTTTCCCAAAAGTCTTCTTTCTATTACATAGTACATATGTCGGATCGGACCACTATATCTACACCCAAAAAAAAATGATCATAGAAACTAAACTATTTCTACATTAAAAGTAAACTATTGAGTGTCAAAAATTTCTCGATACTCTGAGTATTAAACTAATGGACTTCGAAAGTATAAAAATGAAACTTTCGAAGTTGTCAAGTTTAAACTAACGAGTGTACAGTTTATACTCACTCAGTGTACTGAAATTTAGGGTGCTAGTTTATTTTGTATACTATTTAGTATAATGCCAGTATAAATATTATACCCCGTATAAAAGAGACAAAATTCAAAAAATGTTGTTCTGTACTTTTCATATATTATTAAAAATATTTTTTACATTTTTATAAATTACTGAAGGTAATTTTTAATTTAACAAATAAACATAAATACAATACATGTACAAAATATGTACGTGTGTATGCATATTTGGGCAAATGCAGTTTTACCGCTTATGTCGCTGATCATCTCGAGTGGTCGCCGTCCAGATGAACACCGGAGTTTGGTCGGGGACGCTGATATTGAAGTAAACATTGCGCTGGCCGCGGTCAGAAAAAATGCAAGCCAATAGCAAGATCCTTAGTTTCCCGGCATCTGGAGCGCAATTCAAGGAGGTGTCAGTAAAAAGAAAAGAATTTACTCATTAGTTATGCACTAAGACACAATTTTAATGTACTTACATTTCAAATAAGCCCAAAATAAGCAAATATTAAAATTTTCACAAGTAATTTTCACAAACAAACCTTAAACAGACCGCAGCGTCGTTTACAAAATACACTAATGTAAAACCCTTAAAATACTAACGCGTCCGAATAGCATTAAAAAGCGGTAACACTTTTTCTGTTCGAAATGTCCAGGTTCCAAACCAGAGCATCCTGGCTTCACACCAGGAACGAAAACCGAAAACTTCGGTATAGAAATTAAACTCAGGACATAAACTTAACACTATTTAGTCTTAACTTAACACTATTGAGTCTGCTCCTTACATTATTTAGTTTTAAATTAATACTGACAGTTTGATACTAGCTGTAGTATACTTTTAATACAACGTGTATTAACTGTAAACTTTCGGTTTTTTTTTTGGGTGTAGGAATAATAAAAAAAACAAGAAAGGAAGCTAGCTTCGGCCTGCTGAAGCTTATATACCCTTGCAGATTATTATTTTGTTGATCTTTCTTATGGGAGCTATATAATATAGACGTCCGAGTTTTGTTAAATTTTATTCGAAATTTTGAAATGTTAAAGAAAAGCTGTATCCCAGTGAACACACAAAACATAGAAAAATAGTATTTCACAATTTTCTGAATTTTTCATGTATTTTGTTGTTTTATGAGTCATTGAATGTATTTGTTGTATTTTGTTGTTTTATTCATTTGGCAAATTAATAGTAACGTCTCAATTAATATCATAGCAAAACTATTTTATTTGTTTGCGTGTATTTTGTTGTTTTATTTTTTGGGGCGTTAAATAGTAACACCACAATTAATATCGTAACTCAACTATTTTTTTCCTTCATATATTTTGTTGTTTTAAAAATACAATTATAAATTGTATGTCAACTATTTTTATGGACTTAGGGTGGTTAGAGTATCCGACTCATAATCTCAAATCCCGACAATTTTTTTCGGGTAAAATACTATTTTGTAGGTCATATACTATTTTAAAGGTAATCTACTATTTTTTTGTCCTTTTTTTTATGGGTAGGGACTGATTTCACTATTAAATAGTTGATTTTTTAAATAGTTGATAGTTTTTTTTTGTGTGAAGAAGAGTATCTAATAAAAATCAACAAAGATATAATTTTTTTCCTATTAATTTCCATTCAATTTTCCGACCGTTCCTATGGCAGCTATATGATATAGTGATCCGATTTTTTTAAAATTTTGTTCGAAATTCAGAAATATTGAAAAAATAACATTACCAAGAGAAGAAGGTAATATTTCAAAAAACACCGACGCTAGAATTTTTTTTAACATTTTTGCTCGATCCCTTCTATGGGAGCTATAACATATAGTCGTCCGATCCGATCGGTTCCGACTTATATACTACCTGCAATAGAAAGAACCCGTTTCGATTTTTGACAATTTAAAACATCATTTTAAATAGGCATACCTGCAAGGGTATACAAACTTGGGCTGGCCGAAGTTAACTTTCTTTCTTGTTTAAATTAATACCCGTTTTTCCTCTGCCGAGAATTTAATTTACGATATACAATATAACAGTATAACTGGATTTAAATTTGATTTGGTATATTTCTTAAAATATACCGAAAGTATACTTCCAATTGGAAAATACCAAAAACACTGCTTGTAAAAGACAAAAAAACGGCAAAAAGTTAAAATGCTTTAAAATGGCAGAAAATAGCGACAATATTTTAAAAATAAAAAGTAAATTTAAAAAAAAACCAGATAGGCCAGCCAAAGCTTATGTAAAATTTCCTATTATTTTTTATCGATCCGATCGTTCGATTTTGATAAAATTAAAAAAAAAAACAAATCGCAAAAATGCTAAATTTCGTATTATTTTGACATTATTTCTTCTATCTTTTTTATGGCAGCTATATAATATAGTCGTCCGATTTTTGTTAAATTTTATTCGAAATTCGGAAAAAAGCTAGATTTTATTTCCTATTATTTTCCCATTAATTTTTTAATCGTTTCTATGGCAGCTATATAATTTATTCGTCCGATTTTTAAAAAATTAAATTCGAAAGTCAGAATTATTACAAAATATTATTCCAAAGCGTAGTAGGTAATATGTCAAAAAACACCGAAGCTATATAGGAGCTTGATATAGTTGTCCGATCCGGCTGGTTCCGACTTATATACTGCAATAGAAAGAAGCCTTTTGGGAAGTTTCAATCCGATAGCTTCAAAGCTGAAAACAGACGGACAGACGGACGGGCAGGCGGACATGGCTAGATCGATTCGTCTAGTGATGCTGATCGAGAATATTTGTACTTTACAGAGTCGAAAACATCTCCTTTACTGCGTTGCAAACTGACTGGTATGATTTTACTCTCTGCAAGGGTATAAAAAGTGGAACAAAAATTGCAAAAGCTCTGGCATAAAAGTCTTCTTTAAAAATACAGGCCTAAAAAACGAAATTAGTTTTATAACTTATACTTAAAGATACAACTTTAAGCAAACTAGCTAGACCATCAGCCCAAAAATTAAGCAAGGGCTCCTTTTTATATACATTTTTAAAATTGGGAAAAAAGGGTATTACATCCCTGTTAAAGCCCTGTTGTCTCAGTGTATAGCTGTAAACGGCCAAAAGATCCCCGTTGTACCAAGCTTAAAATATTCATATCAAATTCATTTTCTGGTGGATTCTAATGATCATTAACTTATTTTTTTTTGCCAAAGAAGTTATGTGCGTGTATTTTTAAAGAAGCCATTTATGCCCGAGCTTTTCCATTTTGTACCCTTGTAGAGGGTATTATAATTTCAGTTAAAAGTTTGCAACGCTGTGAAGGAGACGTTTCCAACCACATAAAGTATAAATATTCTTGATCAGCTTCAACAGCCGAGTCCATCTAGCCATGTCTTTCTGTTTCTATGCGAACTAGTCTATCATTTGTAAAGCTATCGGGATGAAACTTTTAGATGGATCAAAATTACAATATACTTCTTTACTCTACGAGTAACGGGTATACCTACTCCATATCTTTCCTTTAAGCGGTCTTGTTTTAAACTGAAAATGTTTAAGAAATGTGAAGAAAGTCAGTTTATAAATTAAACAAGAGAGAACGCTATAGTCGGGTTGGTGTCCAGACTATCTAATACCCGTCACTCAGCTAAAGGGAGTGCGAGGGAGATGGACATATAACATTGTTTAATTGCGGGTAACTTTTTAATAAATGGTCCGATTTGAAAAATGTCTTCTACATTTCGATACGTCTAAATATACACAAAACAAGAAAGGAAGCTAACTTCGGCCAGCCGAAGCTTATATACCCTTGCAGATTTTTCCTATTAATTTACAAATCGCAAAAATGTTAAATTTCCTATTATTTTACATTAATTTTTCGATCGTTTCTATGGCAGCTATATGATATAGTAGTTCGATCTTTTTAAAATTAAAATCGAAATTCGGAAATATTTAAAAATAGTCATATCCCAGAGTAGAAGAGAATGTAATAATCAACAAAGATATAATTTGTTTTCCTTTTAATTTCCATTTAATTTTTCGACCGTTCCTATGGCAGCTATATGATATAGTGATCCGATTTTTAAAATATTTAATTCGAACTTCAGAAATATATAAAAAATAATATTCCCAAGAGTAGAAGGTAATACTTGAAAAAACACCGAAGCTAGAATTTTTTAACGTTTTTTTTCCGATCGTTCCTATGGGAGCTATAAGATATAGTTGTCCGATCCGGTCGGTTCCGACATATATACTACCTGAAATAGAAAGAAGGGGAAAGTTTCATCCCGATAGCTCAAAAACTGAGAGACTAGTTTGCGTAGAAAGAGACAGACGGACAGACGGACAGACGGACATGGCTAGATCGACTCGTCTTGTGATGCTGATCAAGAATATATATACTTTATGGGGTCGGAAACGTCTCCTTCACTGCGTTGCAAACTTCTGACTGAAATCATAATACCCTCTGCAAGGGTATAAAAATTGCATTTAAACTTCTCGGAAATCTTTAAAGGTGTGGGCGCCAGACACATTTTAAAATAGTTAGTGGGAGCTTGTGGGGGCGTGGCGCTCGACTGAAATAACCTTGCGCTGCGTAGGAAGCCCAAGAATATGTGTGGGAAATCTCAACCTTCCCTCAGCGTTCATACGGACAGACAGACAGTCGGACAGACAGACGGACAGACAGACAGACGGACAGACAGACGGACAGACAGACGGACAGATAGACGGACAGACAGACGGACAGACGGACTTGGCTATATCGATTCGGCTAGTGACCCTGATCAAGAATATATATACTTCATAGGCTCGAAAACGCTTTATTCTCCCTGTTACATACTTTTGCACGAATACAATGTACCCTTTTACTCTACTAGTAACGGGTATAATTAATCTCATTAGTATCTTTCCTGAAGAAATTCAGCCTGAGAGCCAGAAATATGCAGGATCTATGGTCTTTTTTACTTGAAATCTAATTCCATTTTTTGAGTTAATAATACACATTAGGCTAATTTAAGACCCCCAAATCGACCCTTATATATGTATGTACAATAATAGTACTCAACCCAACAAAAAGTCGTCTAAAACAAAAAACTTCATATAAAATAAAATTTCTTGACGTTTTTTCATATATGAAGTTTTTTGTTTTGGACGACTTATTGTTGGGTTGAGTACTAGCCCTTAAGATTTAAATTTTAATAGTGACTTTATTTCAGGTACTACGAGACAGGGAGTATAAGACCACGAGCTATTGGTGGATCCAAGCCTCGTGTGGCCACAGCCGAAGTGGTGAGCAAAATATCACAGTATAAGCGCGAGTGCCCGAGTATATTTGCCTGGGAAATTCGGGATAGATTACTCCAGGAGAACGTTTGTACCAACGATAACATTCCCAGTGTAAGTGAATCATACCTTACCAAAGCATTCAATTACTACTATAAAGTTAAACCATATACCAGCCTGCACCACTTTGTTTTTACAATTAAAAGTGTACGAAAATGATGCGTTCGATTCGGCTCAGCCATTTTCTTTTCCCAAGCGTCAACATTTTCCTTTCCTAGTTTTTTATATTAAGTATGCCAAAAAGAAGCAAGCCAAATGAATTGTGACAGCGATGCTCATGCCGATGGCCGCCTCCGTGGCCGATGTTGTCCTGCCTTTGCCTTTTCCTTTTCCCATTGACAGTTGTGTGGAAAATGTGCTCGTTCAAATGGAAGGGAAAATCTTTTATGCACATTAAACGACTAAAAGGGAAATCAGTGCTAGAAAAATGTATGAAAAAATACAATATTAAATAAATACGGCCCGCCGCCACCACAAACCGTTAAGCGTTGAAATTCACGCGCCAGTGCGAGGGGGAACTGCTGAATCACGTTTACATCTGGAATCGGATTCGGATTCGTATTCGGATCTCGAAGTTAGGGTGAGAATCAAATCGTCCGTTCGTCCGTTTGTCCGTTCGGCCATGGCGGGGAATACTGCGGAAAATACTTGTGCACCGACCTTTCCTTGAGTTTGACTGAGCGATACTTTCGACGAGTGACAACTACTAAATATTCCTTTGCACATGCACTTGTTGTCCCAGAAAACGCACAAGGACTGCCGCAAAAAGTCGATACAGTCGCCAGTGGAACTAGAATACGGCGTATTCTATGCCTGTAATCTGGTTGGACGAAAGGACGAACTGAAAAGGACGGAGCTCATTTGAAAAATAAAAAAATGAGTTTCAACGCTGTTCGCATACCCCCCGGTAAAGGACATTCTGCCTAATTTTTCCACTCAACTGCACTTTTCCCTGTTGTTCTTCCTCGCTCACTCGCTCATTTATATGTTTGCCCGATTATTCTTTTTCGTTTCGTTTCTTCTCCTTTCCTTTTGAATTTGTTTGAAAAGCGTTGTCAAGCGCAGGCACAGCATTAATACAATAAGAAACTGAATAAATTGCAATCCAAAGCAAACAAACGTGCGTTGTTTCTGACTGAGACCAGAAATTTTCTGGAATTACAGTTTTTTGATTTCAGATTTTTGATTTTTTCGCAAATGCCGACCCGAGATTCCACACAGAACTTCACTCCCTGCTAAATGTTTCTACACCCAAAAAAAACTTGATATGAAACGATGATCGATTTAATGTTGTGTGGTATCAATTTTGACTTGGTATGCTCGAAATATAAACAACAGGCCACTTCGAGCCTCGAACACGTCTTTCTTCCTCCCACTCATGTAACTTTCAGCGCTCCCACTCACGTAATTCAACTTGTCACATTGCTTCTTCCTCTCTTTTTCGAAGTCAGGGAATCCCCGAGAGACAAAAATTGGTATTGCTGGGTAAAAACGATATGCCAGAAATTTACCATGCGCATATCGATTTGACCACGACGTGTTTTATTGTGTCTATGATGCTTTCAACAGCTCTAAATTCGTAACGTAAAACTAAGTTAAAGTTTTTCAATTCTAGGTGTCCTCAATTAACCGTGTGTTGAGAAACCTGGCGGCGCAGAAGGAGCAGCAGGGCCCGGGAACTAGCAGCTCCACCACCGGCAACACGAGCGGCGCAAAAGGGGCCCCCAACGGCAGCGGCAACCTCAGCAACGGCTCGAACGGAACGCGGACCACGTTGACCTCCTCCACTGATCTCATGCAGACGGCCACGCCATTGAACTCCTCGGAGAGCGGCGGCGCGAGCAACTCCGGCGAGGGGAGCGAGCAGGAGTCCATCTACGAGAAGCTGCGGCTCCTGAACACCCAGCACGCGGCAGGATCGGGATCGCTGGACCCAGCCATAGCAGCCCCGCTGGTGGGCCAGGCGCCCGGCCACTTCGAAGCCCACTCCAGCCACCCACTCAACCAGCTGGTGCACGGCAACCAGCAGGCTCTCCAGCAGCAGCAGCAGAGCTGGCCGCCCCGCCACTACTCCTCCGGGTCCTGGTACCCCTCCTCTCTAGGTGCCAGTGAAATCCCCATCTCGTCGGCTCCGAACATCGCGTCAGTGTCGGCGTATGCCGCGGGTCCTTCGCTCGCCCAGCCCTTGAGTCCGCCAAACGACCTCGCCAGCCTGGGCAGTGGCGGTCACTTGAGGAATTGCCCCGTGACCACGGAGGACATTCATCTGAAGAAGGGTGAGTACAATGCCAAGTCTGTGTATCAGTCCACTTTAATCGTTGAAACGAATACATGCCCACTTAATGAATATCGACTCAATTTCATGCGGATCGCCTAATCGTTTCCGTTCAGCCTTAAGGGCGGAACGCAGTTCGTCGCAAAAGTTACTCTTGAAATTGAAAGGGGTAAATCTCTTCAGCGATGTTTAGTCGCTCTTTTTATTTGTTTTATTTATGCTAAATGGTGTCGATTTGTTCTTCCATTTTAAGGTATAGGGAAGTGTAGGGTAAGGTGACGAACGATTCGGTTTTTGAATGTAACTTTTCTAAAAATCAATTTTTTTAAAGTGTAAAGCCAGAAAGTTGCTTACATCTACTGAGCATATTTCTGTAAAATTAGGATTCGAGTTCCAACGGAGCTCCTACACTTGGAGCAAAAACGGAGTCACTCTCAAACGGCGCAAAATAAAAAAACGCCAAGTACCAAAAACTCTTGACAAAGATCTCATTGATACGTGTATATCATGCGCGGATCCACGGGGGGTGATATGGGTGATATATCACCCCCACTCGGGTGAAAAATGAAAGAAATTTTGGTACTCAAAAAGTATGCAACAAAAAAATTGTTCTGATATCACCCCCCACAAAAAAATCCTGGATCCGCCACTGGTGTATATATTTATTTGATTTTATTTTCAACACATCTTCACTATAGCACTGCTAAAACACAAATAAATTGAATTTAATTTTAAATTTAATTTTAATTTTGATTTATTTCTTCCTAACGTTACAAGTACAAAAAAATACTTATAAATTAAAGCGCTAGTCACAATTTGTCAGATTCATGAACATAAATAAATTTCTTAACTACATTGTTCTATTGCAAATACATTAAAGCTGGATTCGACGAGTTCGTCAGATTACCCTACTCGTCACATTACCCTAAACTCCCCTACATATACATTATGAATGTATTTCTTGCCATTTTTATACCCTTGCAGAGGGTATTATAATTTTGGTCATAAGTTTGTAACGCAGTGAAAGAGACGTTTCCGACCCCATAAAGTATATATATTCTTGATCAGGATCAATAGAGGAGTCGATATAGCCATGTCCGTCTGAATGTCAGCTTAAATACCGTTTGCGAGCTCAGTTTAAAAGACTTTCACAGTCGTCCTAAAACATGTGTTCGCAGATCAAGTTTGAAGATCGACCCGATCGGACGTCTATATCCTATAGCTCCCATCAGTGCCTGCCATTACTAAGCTTGAAAAACAGGACAGATAAGCCAAAAAACAGGGGAAAAAAGAACAAAAAAAATTTGAAAAAGGACAAAAAAAAGGGACAAACGTAAATGCTTCTCCATTTTTCTGTTTTTACCAATGGGTTATATAATTACTTAATTTAAATATATTTTATAATAAATTTAATTATGTATTGTTCTTCTGCGCCCGCCTTCTTCGTTTGATCATTTTACCATGGTAAATTTTTGTGCGTATACGTAATAATCTAAAATTATTGGTAATACAAAAACCCGAATTAGAGTCGTTCAAATCTGAAATTTTTTCTGAAAAAAAGAAGAGAATAATAGTTGAGATAATTTTAAAATGTTTATCTCTTCCTTTTGCTACAGAAAAAATCGTACTATAAAGAAAATCCATCGATTGCTTTACGTCTCTTTGATAATTTATAAAAAGAATTCTTTTTTAAGTGCCGAACTGTAAAAATGATGGTTAAAAAGGCGTTTTAGCATATAACAAGAAAGGAAGCTAGCTTCGGCAAGCCGAAGCTTATATACCCTTGCAGATCATTCTATTAATTTACAAATCGCAAAAATGTTAAATTTCTTATTATTTCACATTAGTTTTTCGATCGTTTCTATCACATCTATATGATATAGTAGTTCGATCTTTTAAAAATTAAAATCGAAATTCGGAAATATTTCAAAATAGTCATATCCCAGAGTAGAAGGGAATGTAATAAAAACCAACAAAGATATAATTTTTTTCCCATTAATTTCCATTTAATTTTACGTTTTACGTTTTTTTTTTTTTGATCCTTCCTATGGGAGCTATAAGATATAGTTGTCCGATCCGGTCGGTTCCGACATATATACTACCTGCAATAGAAATACGACTTTTACGAAAGTTTCATACCGATAGCTTTAAAACTGAGAGACTAGTTTGCGTAGAAACGGACGGACAGACGGACGGACAGACGGACGGACAGACGGACAGACGGACGGACAGACGGACAGACGGACATGGCTAGATCGACTCGTCTAGTGATGCTGATCAAGAATATATATACTTTATGGGGTCGGAAACGTCTCCTTCACTGCGTTGCAAACTTCTGACTGAAATCATAATACCCTCTGCAAGGGTATAAAAATCACACTTTAACAGTTATTTTCTGCTTTGTAAAGTAAAACTCAAAGAATAACTGTTATTTTTTGAGTTTTATAATAAAAGTTGACAAATAACACTTATTCGTCGTGATCAAAAATAAAACTCAAACTTGATTTTGTGGGTGAAATAAATTTAAAACAAGAAAGGAAGCTAGCTTCGGCCAGCCGAAGCTTATATACCCTTGCTGATGTTCCTATTAATTTACAAATCGCAAAAATGTTAATTTTCCTATTATTTCTCATTAATTTTGCGTTCGTTTCAATGGCAGCTATATGATATAGTAGTTCGATTTTGATAAAATTAAAATCGAAATTCGAAAATATTTGAAAAGAGTTATATCCTAGAGTAGAAGAGAATACAATAAAAACCAACGAAGCAATAATTTATTTCCTATTATATTTCCATTAAATTTCCGATCGTTCCTATGGCAGCTATATGATATAGTCGTCCGATTTTGAAAAAATTTTATTCGAAAAAGTATTCGGTAAGAACAAGCATTTTGCTGCTTGATTGCATACAAAACTTAAGCAAAAATGCATTTTCGAGCGAATCTGCTTTTCTACCCATACCTTTCTTTTGGTGGGATGAATGGATTGCGCTGAAACAGATTCCTAGTGGTAGGCGAAGGTCTTGACCGTCCATTTCAACAAAAAAATCGAGAATTTTTTGTACCTTTGCTAATTTTTTTTAACTATATCACGCACATTCTTTTTTTATATAGGTAAAACTGGTCCAGAATATGCAAAAAAAATTTTTTTTTAAGTGCCAAAACATTTAAACAACCTTATGGGCAATAATGACTAGTATTTTAAATGTCAAATTAAGTTTATTTCCTAAATAAATTTTGAGATTTTTAGTACAAAAAGGAAAAACCGAATATTAATGTGGCCTCAATACTCGGGTTGTTTTTTGTTTATGCATGTATCTCTTTAAAAATAAAAATAAAGTATTAATATATATATATATGTATCAATAAAAAGGTTATAAAATAAGTGCAACTTTCTGTTGCATTTAAATACAAGCTCAATTGAAATTGAAAACCCCCAACATATTTTGGACCACCTTCATTTGCAATTGCAAGCAAAAGTACAATCAGAACAAAGCCCAAAATATTTTATTTTACTTTATGTACGCACGAGCGAACTTGGCATTTGCAAATTTTCGTTTGCTGATATGCCGTTTTATTTTCGTATTTATCAGTTATAAAAGTCTACAACTGGACCAAAAGGTTGTCGCGTCGTGCGTAAATACGACGAGCACGTGACCAACTTACAATACACTTGGTTCTGATTGTCTCAAGCATCGCAAGTCTTTCAATGTTTTTTTACAATAAAATGTAACAGGGAAAGTTTCTTACCGTCTCACACTTAAGCTTAAAACCGTGTATTTACATTCTCTGTTCAATGTTATAGACAATTTATCAAAACAAAAATGAAGCTTACTTCACCACCCGATGTTTTTAATTCCTTGCAGATCATTCCTGTTAAATTACAAATTACAAAAATAGGTATATTATATATACTCGCGTATATGTTACTACAAACTAAATTATAGCTGCTTTCGTATTTTTTTTGCATTATTTTGTCGTCCGATTTTTGTAAAAATTTAATTTAAAATTTTGGAATATTAAAAACAATAAGGGAAGCTAGCTTCGGCCAGCCGTAGCTTATATACCCTTGCATATCATTCCTATTATTTAACAAATCTCAAAAATTTTCAATTTCCTATTATTTTTCATTAATTTTCCGATCGTTCCTATACCAGCTATATGATATAGTAGTTCAATTTTGATAAAACTAAAATCGAAATTCGGAAATATTTAAAAAGAGTCATATCTCAGAGTAGAAGGGAATACAATAAAAACCAACAAAGCAATAATTGTTTACCTATTAATTTGCATTTCATTTTCCGACCATTCCTATGTCAGCTTTATGATATAGGGTTCCCATTTTTTCTAAATTTAATTCGAAATTCATAATTATTAAAAAAATATTATTCCCAAGAGTAGAAGGAAATCTTAAAAAAACACCGAAGCTAGAATTTTTTGTACGTTTTTTTCCGATCTTTCCTATGGGAGCTATAAGATATAGTTGTCCGATCCGGCCGGTTCCAACTTATATACTACCTGCAAATGAAAGAAGGCTTCCGGGAAAGTTACAACCCGATAGCTTACAAACTGAGAGACTAGTTTGCGTAGAAACGGACAGGCAGACGGACGGACAGACGGACATGGCTAGATCGATTCGTCTAGTGATGCTGATCAAAAATATATATACTTTACGCTTTAGCGATGTGGACGTGGTACATTTGGATAACAAACCTGCGGTTAATGAGAAGCTAAAGAATCTGAATATAAAATCACTAACTTTCATTCTTATAAGTAGTTTAACAGATAGCTGCGTTCACACGGACAGACAGACATGGCTACACCGAATCACTCATCTTAAGGAAGTGCGAAGGAAATAAAGATATACATTTTTGATCGGGCATAACTTTTTAACGAATAGTCCGACACCTTCTAAAATCGTTTAGGGCGATTGTGCGAAACCAACTTGCTCTGCGTAGGATATGAATAAATATGTGTGGGTTATCCCAATTTTCTACGAAAAGCCATTGCTTTTGCACGCTGCTTCTATTTGGCAAAAAATATCAAACAAGAAGATACTTCAATTTTTTTGCGAAAGGCGTTGATTATGAAATTTAGCTTGCCATGCCTTTAAAGTAAATATGCGGCGTGGGCGGTTGATGAACCCATGGTCCAATTCAAAATTTAACAAAAACAGAAATTGTATTACAGTTACCAACACAAATAACATTTTCTTTAAATCCTGAAGACTTACATTGTTCGAATATTATATTTTGCTAATGTATTAATTTAAAAAAATAATAATTTGGCTAACCCCATTGAACTTATTAACTTATGCTTTGACCTTGACAAATTAAATAAAATAAAATGTACACTGCGTGATGGTGACAGGCTGAAAAACTTGATTTGAGGTATAAATCACCCATACCGTGGTGAAACATGAAACATGGTGTTCACCACACAACCAAATCCTGGATCCGCCCGGAATAAATTGGCATATTACTGTTTCTATACAATAATTTACAAATTTTAAAAATAAGCATAAGAGAATTGAATACTCGAACTCCTATAGTTTCCAAGATACCGACGTTCATATTTTCCTACAGGCAGAGTGGCCCTTACAATATTAATTCTGTTTATTTCCATTTATTTATCCCAGTATTGCCATTATCGGGAACACAAAGGTGTGTCATTAATGTGGTATTTACAATTGGCCGAATAGAAAAGGCAGAGTTTCGATAACAGAACAAATTCTCGACTCGAAGCTTAACAAAGAACATGTGTGTCAGAACTGTCAGTGCTTTGCGACCGCCCCTCCTAAGTTTCCCCCTTTTGATCAAGTATAGCTATGGGGCAACCACTGCCGTAACCACTGCCGTGGTTGACAGGTTTACCCTTAACCGTGTAGTTTGCTTTAATGCGATTTACAGACTCATTTTACAGGCGATGACACTTCATTAAACGACAAACCGTGAGGGTGGTTGTGGTTAGAGATGGGTTCATGGTCAGGACGTGGAGGGTTGGGGTTGGATTGGATGCTGGCGAAGATGAGGGGTGCATAAATAGATTACGGAAAATACATATTTATAAAATTGTACTTCGAAACCTCATTCTAGGGCTCTGGCCTTATCAGGTTTTGTCTTTAGCGCATTTAAATGTGAGAGTGTCGCATCACTGTCCCTTAACTCAGCCTCGAACCCCCGCTGAAGCTCATCCTCCCAGCCCAGTTTCATTTTCCAGATACGGTCGCAGATCTCGTTGGCTTGTAGCTCGTGTTCTCGTTTTGGTTGCCTGGCATCTGACGCCGTCTGTCATTGTAACGCTGTTGCCGCTGTCAGAACATTGCAATTCGCTAGCCACTGACATGTGCTTTGAGGAGATACAGGACGGGGTCTATCCCGCGGCTTGTCTTTGGGCTATCAGCGTCTATTTGCTTTGTCACATCCACTAACATTCAACGTCAATTCCACAAGAACGTGGAATTGCTTGTGTGTACTAGCACACACCTTGGCCGAGCTGACCCCAGCTAAAACATAAATGATTAGCATTCCTCTTTGATGTGGCCGCTAATGCAGCCTTAACAGCTGTACTCCTAGTTCAATTGCTGCAGATCAATCATGCCTCCAAGTATCTACATTTATGATTAGGTTTCCAAAAGGATGAAGGTGGTACAAAATACACACAAGTTTTGATTTAACACTTTTTTTAAAAGAAGGCTTTTTTAAACCCCTTACTCGTAGAGTAATAATAACTATCGTACCATACTTCACAGTATATATACAGTGTGCCACTTAATTCATGATACACCGTCGATTCTAACAAATTTTGCGAATTGCTCCTTTATTGAAGGACATTCAAAAAGTCTAAGGGCCGTTTTCTCGTCCGCCTGTTAAATTGAAAGTAGGGTTAAAACTCTGAAAAAAAAACTTTTCAAATTTGCGAATTGCTTCTTTATTGAAGGACATTCAAAAAGTCTCAGTATGCCAAATTGTTCGTTTCACTTTTGGTAAGGGGCTGTCCATATATTACGTAATCACGTTTTTGGTGATTTTTGACCCCCTCCCCCCCCTAATGATCAAACGTAATCATTCAATAAACAACCCCCCCCCCCAATGATTACGTAATCCCAAGAATAAATTTTTTTTTGTTTTAATCTGTGGATTCAAACGGAGATGCAACCCAATCTTATATATTGTTTATAAATGGAGTTTGGTATGACACATTCGGTTCGTCTACGCTGAAATTATCTCCAACATACTCTTCGTCAAGCCATTCCAGGTCTTCGCGTCCTTCGTGTGATTGAACCACTAAACATTTTCTTTTTCGCCGCCCAGCCACTAAAAAAATTTTTTCTCTGCTTTCCTATCTAAGTTTGTAGATATAATTAAAGGAAAAAAGTTTTAAAATAAATTCTTTAAATAAAAAAATGTATATAAAATGATTACGTAATCATTGTGCAAGACCCCCCCTCCCCATGTAATCAAACATAATCATTTCAATGACCCCCTCCCCCCCTAGGTGATTACGTAATATATGGACAGCCCCTAACATGAAAATAAAACATAGCTTTTGGTATTAAAATACAAACATGCCCGTCTGTCTGTGTATACATGAACGCTGAAATCTCGGAAACTTTAAAAACTAGAATATTAGTCGTACAGATTCTAGGGGTTATTGCGCAACGCAAGGTTGTATCATTACGATGCAGTGCAAATTGTATTTTATTTGATTTGTCAATAAATGCTAAAATCGAATCATTTATTACGAGTTATGAGCAAATTTCTTATTTGGTTAAATGTAAAAATCTCAATCTATTTTGGCTTTGTCGAATGACAGCTAATTTATCAAAATCTTATGCATTGTTTAAAAGTTTTTAAAAAAATAGTTTTGTGGCTCTTTCCAATATGAAAATGTTAGTTTGTAGGATTTAATGAATCAAATCAATCATGTTCTAATTTTTACAGGGCTAGGCATCTCGAAATGATAAACTTTTTGAGCCATTTTTATAAAGAGTTAGAAAATAGCCAAGTTTTTTATCCGAATGTGCAACGCCCACTTTAACGCCCCCAAGCCGAGCAAAACTGTGGCAGTTAAAGTGATAGAGGGGGGTTCGAGTATACATATTTTAACAAAAATATTATACGTTAGTCCATGCTTATCGATCCCAATCTCCTAGCTTTTATAGTTCTCGAAATCACAACGGACATGTGTCGGAAACGCTTCTCTTTCCGAGGAATAAAATGTTTCAAAATTCTCGAGTACTCTATATGTACACCCAGAAAAATGATGGACATTTTAGGTCATGCATAGCCTAAAAAAATGTAAATGGAATAAAAGTTCATGTACTGCCTAAAAATTTAAATTTTTGTATACTTGCCCTACTATGTAGGTCCCGTATAGCCTAACATTTTAGGTCATTGTGGGCCTTAAAATTAATGCATTTTACCTAAATAAATTTGCATGGAACTCTGATACCGTTCTGGCGACGCTATAATTCCCAACCAGTTATAGCGCGGCTTGCATGGTAACGCACTTCGATCGTTGACCAAGACACCGATTTCACTGCTGATGATTGTATGCATGTACAGTGAAGCCTCTTCGCTCCTTTTTGTGTGTTGGCATAATGACGACTTCCTGAAGACTAAGTTGACATTGACCTCGAGTTAGATACATTTTTCAGTACATATTTTTAGGCCAAAGAAAGCCTAAAATTTTGGATAGGGGTTTTCTCATATTTTTAGGCAGCCAATTACCTAAAACCTAGGCCAAAAATTACCTCCATTTTAGGCCATTAATGGCCTAACATTTTAGGTCATGGAATCCTAAATTTTAGGCCATTCAAGGACTTAGTTCCAGTTTTAGGCTAATTTTACCTAAGTAATGTAATTAGGCAATAATCCCAAAAATGTTGCTGAAGCGCTCCGGATTAGAAAATGTACTCCAATCATTTTGATATGAGAACTTTATTTGTCCATAGTGGTGTTTCTGTTATAAATAGGTGTTAATAAAAACTGTTTTTGCTATTCCTTTCGGCAGAACTCGATGGCCATCAGTCGGATGAGACAGGCTCCGGTGAAGGTGAAAACTCCAATGGAGGCGCTTCGAATTTAGGAAACAATGAGGATGATCAAGCTCGTCTTATACTTAAAAGAAAGTTGCAGCGTAATCGAACCTCCTTTACGAACGACCAGATAGATAGTCTTGAAAAAGGTAAGAACGTGCGTGCTATGTTTTGCAAAAATTTCTTAAGGTACAAAAATTCCTATGTGCTGAACGGCAATAAAAGTTAGAATACTTTCTTGAATTATATCTTAGATGTTAATCGTACACGAAGGGTATGCCTAAGTAATCCCTAGTTTGTTTCATGTATAAGCGCTAATGAACCGAAAAAAAGACAATTTTTACAATGAAGGAGACTATAAACCAGTTGGTTTTTCCAAGAACCTAAGTGACGCCTTTAATTTAAAATTTACTATACATCCTTGAACCTCTTAAAATATTGATTTCAGAGTTTGAACGAACGCACTATCCAGATGTTTTTGCGCGAGAACGATTGGCTGGAAAGATTGGTCTGCCGGAAGCAAGGATTCAGGTTTGGTTCTCGAACCGCCGTGCAAAGTGGCGCCGCGAGGAAAAACTGCGAAACCAGAGGAGAACACCAAATTCCACGGGAGCTAGCGGAACCTCGTCCTCAACATCAGCAACTGCCTCCTTAACAGATAGCCCGAACAGCCTGAGTGCCTGTTCCTCCTTGCTGTCCGGATCAGCAGCAGGCCCTTCAGTCAGTAAGTACAGAGCAGGAGGGCAGGAACCGGGCAAAATAAAAAACAATTCAGTATGGTTTAAGAGTAATTTGTTCCTATTTTGCTTACAAATTTACTACGTTTTCATATTTATTTATTGGGGTAGTGCTTTGTAATTTCTTGTTCTTGCAAAGTGTAATACCTATACTAAAACGAAAAAACCCATAACATTTTGTTTTCTATTTAGATACTCTTAGTGGTTTATCCTCGCCAAATACATTGTCCACCAGTGCCAGTGCCCCAGCGGTTGGTGCTGGCATCGACGGTACCGGCAGCCCAGCACCAACCCATATTAGACCCGGTGGCACCTCGGACATATCCGCTGGACGTCACAGTGAAGACTGCAGAAGAGCCTGTTCTCCGTGCCCCCTGGGGATTGGCGGCCAGCCGAATAGCCATCATCACCAAAGCAATGGTCACACCCATGCCCACGCACATGCGCTTGTTCCTGCTATTTCGCCACGACTCAATTTCAACAGCGGCGGGTTTGGGGCGATGTACTCGAACATGCATCACACGGCCTTGTCCATGAGTGATACCTACGGGTAAGCATATTCACTAATATTGCTAGTAAAAGCCTTACAAATACTAAACCGAAATCTCTTGCCTTTTCTTTGCAGAACGGTAACACCAATTCCGAGCTTTAACCACTCATCCGTCGGATCGTTGGCCCCACCGTCGCCCATATCGCAGCAGGGCGACCTCACGCCACCCTCCTTGTACCCGTGCCACATGACCCTGCGACCGCCGCCAATCGCACCTCCACACCACCACATAGTACCGGGCAACGGGAGCAGCCCTGCGGGAGGCATAGGCAATGCCCAATCGGCGAACCTGGGAGCAAACTGCGGTGGCTCGGGATACGAAGTGCTCTCCGCCTACGCGTTGCCCCCGCCCCCGTTGCCATCGAGCAGTGCACCGGCATCGAACTTCCCAACCTCCTCCAGTACTAGCGCCAATGGGACCTCCCATCACCCCATGTCCCAAGAACCGTGCCCCTCGCCCTGCAGTTCCAACTCAAACCCTCTGGGAGTTGGCCACAGCTCCGTATTCGCGACTGACCCGATTTCGCCGGCTGTATCTTCGTATGCACATATGAGCTACAACTATGCTTCGACCGCCAACAACATGTCAGCTTCCTCCCCCGGCGGAGCCCCGGCGCATGTCGCTCCTGGAAAGCAACAGTTCTTCGCCTCATGCTTCTACTCACCTTGGGTCTAAATAAGGAGGGGTGGTTCAGTCAGAAAGGCACTTCTAATAGACTACTTTATAATTGTAAGCCGCCCTCTCTCCACAAGAGGCCATAATAAATCGAATTTACATATCTCTTTCAATATAATAGAGGTTGTAGAAAAATACATATGTATGTATACATTATATAGTTCCGCCCATTAAATCCAATCTATAGTGTAGAATAATTGGTGTAAATTAAATGATTTAATTTTGACAAATGGAGACAATCAAATCCTGTTTTATTTTTACACTCGGCCTGGGATCTACAATCTCCAAGCTAAAAATAAATGGTGATTTTCACATCATCACGAACATCAGGGTCTTACTTTCGCGGCTAATCTATTGTTTTAATTATTGTATAAAATATATATGGGCAATTCTCTGAGGATGTCAACCAAGCCAAAAGGCTTGAATCAAATATCAGTGAAACGGTTTCATCGAGGTAAATTTAAAAGGCATTAATCTTCCTTTAAAATGAGCGTTTGAGGCAGGGAGTGGGCGTGGCAGAGGTGTTCTAACAAACCGGCAGAGTCCAAGTTTATAAACAAATACATTTTTTTTCTCCAAAAAAATTAAAAATCATTTTATTTTTTAATGCTTAACTTCTTAAAAATTACAAAAAAAATGTTCGTAAACATTTTAATTTTGTAAAAAAAAATTGCGCTGCGTAGGAATCTGCGTGGGTAATCCCAATATTCTAGCTTTTGTAGTTTTCGAGATCTGAGCGTTCATACGGACGGACAGACGGACAGACGGGCAGACGGACAGACGTACCGACTGACAGACGGACATGGTTATATCGACTCGGCTAGTGACCCTGACAAAGATATACATACTTTACTCTTCGTGTAACGGGTATAAGACTATGCAACATCAGAACTTTACCTCGGTGGATGCTATATTTATGGTTTAGTTCCGATTTCCCAATTTAAGCTGCGTTTTCCAAAAAGTTCCCCTACGCAAAATTTCGAGAAATTTTGAGATTGGCCAACTTCCCGGAGGTCTCAGAGGCAAAAAGATACACCCTTTATCTTTCAAACCCCATACTTAGAACAATTTTAGGATTTTTTTAAGGGAGAAACAAAATTTAGAAAACATAGTCATAAAAACATATAAGTAAACAGCTGCGGTCAAAATAGTAGTAGTAGTGCCGCCCTGTGTTTTTAAAAGTTTGTTGTTTAATTTAAATAAAAGCAACTAGTCAAATCATTAAGGTTAAAAACTGTAAACTTTATAGTGTGTATTGACATGAAATCAGACATTTTTAACATGTTTTTAAAATGTTATGGGCTATACAAAGTACATACGTAATTGTTTTTAATATTATCATATCCGGCAGTAATTTCAAGAAAGGCCATTTTATATCAATTTATAGACGCATTAATGACATAATTTTGAAATGTTTATTTGTTTATACACCTAATTAGTCGCAAAAGGTTAACAAATTCAACCAAAAAGCATTAAAATGTATTTTTATCAAATAAAAACACCTCTTAACGAGGTAAAAAACTAGTGACAATCGCACCTTCAACATACAAAACTTCTGATGGCAACATTTGTGAAAAAAAATTGTTACACTCGTCATTAAATACACTTTCCAACATTTTCTGATTAAAAAAAAACAAAAAAAAAACCATTTAAAAAATTTTTGGTTTTGCCATAATTTTTAAAATGTTGTATTTAGACAAATTACGCGCAGAATTATGTATTTCAAAATACCTTCAAAACTAGGTATAACGCATGTATGTATATTTAGTAGTACAGAAGTTACGGCCTCCCGAAATTTCGCCATATATAGCTGTTTTCCCGCTAAACTAGCTAGTTTTTCCAAAAGTGGTAGAACTAAAGTTTCTTATATCGATTTGTTTAAATATATCTACACTATATAACATTTTCAAGACTTAAAAACAAGGTTTTGAAACAGACAGAGAAACGACAAACAGAATTAAATTTTCATTTTGGGAAGAAGAAGAAAATCTTGTTTTCAGTACAACGGAGCATCGGATTTTATCATATGACCCCTCATTCGACGCGTATTTTTAATAGGAACACAACTCAGATAATGCGGCCCCAACAGCTCCAAAACTCGAAATTTTTACTTTTTTACTTTCTCCGCTCTCTCTCTCAATTGATTTTCTTAAAGTCTTGGTATGCAATCCTGTTAGTTTTTGCGATACCTTTCGATTGGTGTATCACTCATTCGGACAGCAGATTCCATTCTGCGGCTATATATAGTAGTCACCTTCGCACACTCTCCTTGTGAGCTTCGTCAATACATGGACTGCCGTCCATAGTGATTACACTATGCAGCATCAAAAATTTACCTCGATGGATGCTATATTTTTGGATTCGTTACGAATTCCCAATATAAACTGCGTTTTCCAAAAAGTTCCCCGACGCAAGGATTCTTAGCAAAAGGACCTCAAAGTTCGAAAAATGGTGAAATTGGCAGACTTTGCGGAGCTCTGAGAGGCAAATGGATGCATGGTTTGATTCGATGTTAAAGTTTTTTAAAAGATACACTCTTTATCTTTCAAACCCCATACTTAGAATAATTTTAGGTTTTTTTTTTAAAGGAGAAACAAATTTTAGAAAACATAGTCAAAAAACATAAATGCATACAGCTGCGGTCAAAATAGTAGTAGTATTGCCGCCCTGTGTTTTTAAGGGTTTGATGTTGTCACTTTTTTTATCCAATTAGTCTAATAGTAAAATTATAATCAATACAATATTACCGGGAAAAGACCAATTACAACAACAAACTTTTAAATAAACAGGCGGCAACACTACTACTATTTTGACCGCAGCTGTATGTTTTTAAGTTTTTTGACTATGTTTTCTGGAATTTATTTATGCCTTAAAAAAATCCTAAAATTATTCTAAGTATGGGGTTTGAAAGATAAAGAGTGTATCTTAACATCGAATCAAATCATGCATCCATTTGCCTCTGAGAACTCCGCAAAATTGGGAAATTTCAGCATTTTTCAAACTTTGAGGTACTTTTGCTAAGAATCCTTGCGTCGGGGCACTTTTTGGAAAACGCAGTTTAACTTGGGAATTCGTAACGAATCCAAAAATATAGCATCCATCGAGGTAAATTTAAAAAGCACTAAAAATGCTGCACAGTGTTATTGATCCCATTTCACAGTAGCTCTAAGGAATGAGCAAAATGGTACTTTTTAGATTAAATTTTGCTCATTGCTCATCGGTCCAATGCACACTGGGCCAAAAAGTTAATTTTTTGGCCAAAAATCTGTAATTTCTTTTCTAGGACAGTTAGTAGGATGCAGTTTTTTGCGTTTTTTCTTAAAAGATTGAACTTTTCAACGAACTAAAAGTAACATTTCTTGGAATTTTATATGATATAGATAATCCAAACCAAAGTCGGAAAATTTGACGTACTTTTGGTATATTATTTTTAAAAAAATAATTAGAAGGCGTACTTAATCCATTTTCATTCACGATAAAAACAAACTATATATAAAACAAGCTAAAACAAAATTAACATCACTAAAAAAAATATTATGTCGTTTAAGATTTATGAACTGTTAAAAACTGCAACTTTCGGAGGCTCCCACATCAACGTTTGTCAAACAATTTTAATTTTTACAATCGATTTAAAAAAAAATGTATTTTTATACCCGTTACTCGTAGAGTAAAAGGGTATATTGTATTCGTGCAAAAGTATGTAACAGCCAGAAGGAAGCGTTTCCGACCCCATATCTTGTACAAGGTCACTAGCCCAGTCGATCTAGCCATGTCCGTCTGTCCGTCCGTATGAGCCCTGAGATCTCAGAAACTACAAAAGCTAGAAGGTTGAGATTTCCCACAAATATTCTTTGGCTTCCTACGCAGCGCAAGTTTATTTCAGCCGAGCGCCACGCCTTCTCTAACGATTTTAAAATGGGTCCCTCTACCGGGTATTTCCCCTCTGCGCTGTAATTTCCTGTTTAATAGTTTCCGGATCTAAACTATATAGATTTCGAAAATACCATGATCGATAAGTGTACGTAAAAAGTAGATTTTAGATGTTACTCAAACTAAAATCAAATTTTGGCGAGCAAAATGTTCACTAAAACCTGAAGAAAAAAAGTACGGCATACTTTTAGGCTATCTTAGCAAAGCTCATCCACTTCGAGTTAAGCCTTCAATTAAAACTTCAATTTCCGAAAACTAAGGCAAAACCGCATCGAGACGGCGGTATACGCTTTTAGTAAATTGATCAACGAATTTTTTTTTTGAAGGAATGGACTAATTTGGGGATGGAACTCAAAGGCACTTGAAAAGCAAAGCACTCATTTGTTAAAAAAAAGCCGTAAAAATCAACAAATACATTTATTTTAGAAAGCAAGTAAGAAATACGAGCTATATTATATTTTTTATTAGTTAAAAATAATCACATTTAACAGTTTTGTGAAGAGTCAAACAGCTACATCAGCATCTTTGACTTCAAAATTTTTTTTAATTTTCATCAATATTTGATGAATTTCTCACTTTGAAAATACGGTAAAAGAAGACTAATTCCCCGATTTCTTTAAAACTTTGGCATAAATCAGTTTTATGTATTACACAGGTCAACAAAATGGACTTTATTAAAAGGTGCAGGCCTATTGGCATTAAAAAATGTTAATATAGACGTATATAAGCATATCTGCATACTTAGTTTTCGCGTTTAACGGGTGGTATTTGGGCAATCGCGGTTTGAAAAAAATAGCAACATTTAATTTTTTGATTTAAGATATCTTCGAGGGTCTGTGCTCAGTTGTAATAATACCTATGCCAAAAAATTGCTTAGATGCCCTTCTACATTATTGCACTTAAGGTTCCATCATAATGTGAGTCAATCACAGCCTATGAGCCATTGAAGTAATTTGTTCACCTCTATTCCCAACCAACTTGATGCGGTGAACACGCTTAAAAAATACAAGGAAAAATATATGCCCTAAAATATTTTACAGGCATCTAGAGGCGTCTTTCACCGAATTTTTAAGACAAATAAGACCATTGTACGTCGAAGGATGGAATTTATAGAATTTTTTCCGTAAGAACTTAAAAAGTAACAACTAATTTTAAATCCCATTTTACATAAATATCTGACACATTCGTAAAAATGTGCCTTTCAATTTGGTTAGCAGTAGGCGCCGAACATAGACAAATTATATTTTTAAGGGGTTAATATGCCTTAAAAAAAATCCCCACCACAATTTTAAGGCGACGCCACTGTTATCTTTAAAAAGCCTACTGTGTAAAATCACGACAAACTCGTTACGTAAGAGTGACTCTAAAATAC